CAGATCAGATCAGATCAGATCAGGGGGTATGGTAGGTTAGGTCGGATTAGATCAGATCAGATCAGACAAGATCAAGCACGGCAGGGCAGGGTAGGGCAAGTCAGGCCGGCGAGGTCAGGTGAAGCCGGGTTAGGTAGGTCAGCTTATTCTGTCGGATAAATTCGAGTGAAGCAGATGAGGTCAGTCGGCTTGGGGGGCGTTAGGTGAGATCAGATCAGGCTGGGTCACGTTTATTCGCGTTGGTGGATTGACGGAAAGGACAGGATGAGAGAACGCAAACCATGCAAGGGAGACGCGAAGAAATTTTGCAAAAAGAAAAGTTGTGGAGAAATCGATCGGCCGAGTGATATGGTGTCTACAGACCGGGATACCTGCGCCTGGCTGTGCATACACACGCCGAGCATTTGACTGGCTACGAACAAAAAGACGGCATAATGATCTATCATTGTTTACGAGACACGGCTCCGACGCCTCGCCGGTGCACTCAGTGAACAAGATGGGACGAGCGCCACAGACCCGGGCCATGAGGCAAAGCATGTGCGCTTTTCCCTCCCTGCCCGGAAGGAAACTAACGATGAGGATTAACTCAACCTAGTCCACTCGTTAAACACGGTATTGTGCCCGTGGCCACCCACTACCCAGTCCAAATCATTTACACCCACCTGTCTGCCAACCGTTTGCATTTGGCCAGGCTATATGACCGCACAGTCGAAGTAACCGAAAGCCGTCTGCAATTTGCCTGCACTGAAGTTTCAACAAATAAGTTTCAGACAAATTTGCACAAAAATTTGCCGCGTGCTGATCATTGCAAAAGAAGCGAGAACAGAGTTAATTATTCCTTCATGGCCAATGGGGTGGCAGTATTTGAATGACGTTTCTGTGGCGTTATGCATGCATGAGTGACCTTGAAGTAGTCAGCACGGAATAGTGCGCACATCTTCGCGAGCGCGTAGCTCAGAAAGAAGATGGTTTTAGGTCTAAGAGGGTAGGGCTCTGAGCTACACCAAAGGATCTTCAAGGTCGTTATCTCAGTTCAAAACTCCACACAAATGTGAAAACCCTCATTTAACACAGCGCATCCAGGGGGAGAGTCGCCCAGTGTAACCATTGTTTGGGGAGAAATTGAACACGGAGGGAAGAGGAATTGAGAACTAGGAGGGGAGCTGAAAACGAAGCGAACGTGCGTAATGTAGTAACGTACGGACGGACCTTTACACCTGCTGTCTGGGCTGAAAGAACAAGCTCTCATCAGCACTTAATGAGGCGAGGCATCGCCTGCTCTGTCTCTGCTAGTGTTTCCTGTGGCGCATTTACCCTCGATACGCGAGCGCCACTCCTTCCGCAATCCCAGTTGTGCAATACCTGAATTACAGTTTCACGGCACTATTTATACGTCAGTTATCCCACAGCGTCATGGCCACTCATTCTGTGGATCCTGATCACCCTCACGACTTATGAGTCCGTGTGGTTGCTAGCTTGGCAATGCTGCCTTCCCAATTACGGACCCTCTGTATACCCGAGATAGCTAACTCTGCACACACACGCACTACCACGGTGTGTGTGTGTGTGTGTGTGTGTGTTGGGTGTGTTGTTTTGTGTGTTGTGTTGTGTGTGTGTGTGTGGTGTGTGTGTGTGTGTGGGGTGTGTGTTGTGTTGTGTGGTGTGTGTGTGTGTGTGTGTGTGTGTGGTGGTGTGTGTGTGGGTGTGTGTGTGTTGTGTGTGTGTGGTGTGTTGTGTGTGTGTGTGGTGTGTGTGTGTGTGTGTGTGTGGAGGCGGAGAGAGAGAGGAGAGAGAGGAGAGAGAGCGAGCGAGGCGAGCGCGCGAGAGGAGAGAGAGAGAGAGAGAGAGGAGAGAGAGAGAGAGAGAGAGAGAACCTAACCTACTCACGACGCCCCCCGTGCGCTGCCCGTGGAGCTGAGCGCCCTGAGCGCCCTGTACTTACTCTGCACGTTCAGCACGTGGGTCTGCAGCACCTCGGCGTTGTCACGCGCGTGGCACGTGTAGTTGCCGGCGTGGATCAGCTGCACATGGCTCAGGTACAGGGAGCCGTCCGGGAACACGCGCAGAGCCTCGTCCTGCAGCTGAGTCAGCTCCCGACCCGACCTGTCCGGCAGGGTCACGCTCGCTCAGAGGGGTCGAGCTGGGTCACAAGGGTCAAACCAGGTCACAGTGGTCCGCCTTAACAACAGCCCATACAATCGATTTTTGAGTTGCACTGGTCACGGGCCCCGACGGGTCACAGGGGCCAAGCCAGGTCGCAGAGTTTGCGCTCGGTCACAAGGGTCACGCTCGGTCGCAGATGCCACGCTAGGTCATAGGGGTCACTATAAGTTACCTAGTCGCAGGGTCTCCGGTTAGAGCAGGCCAACCCTGATCAGGGAGGAGGTCCATTCGGGTCAGAGGTCTGATCTAGTCGCAAGGGGGAGACCGTGCTTGGCCACAGATGCTTGCCCATGGTTTCGGAGTTACCATCATGCTTTCACTGAGGGGGTCGGAAACATCCAGTAACAAGGGATTGTGCCGGGCTGATTTTTGGAGTCATTGCCTGCTCACTGGATGGTCGTGGCCTGTTGGACCAGGTTTGTTCATGTTTACACGTGAGAATAAATGTTAAGATGATGCATCGTAGTGAGAGCAGAACTCACAGTTCAATACACTGGATCAAACATTGAAGCAAACGCCCGGTAACCATAGACGGGAGATCAGATGTCCAAGAATGTTCAACCAATGTGCTCCAACGACACAAGATACAGATGTCTTTCAAAATTGTCATGCGTAAATAATTTCAGCCAAAATCCGACAAGCACTTTGCAAAGAGAATAATACAAACGCCGTGACAGCCTCCGCGAGGCCACTCTTGCCGCTGTTCCTTACCGCTGACCAGAGAGCTGCATCTGAGCGCTCATTGGTGAACCCACTGACCATGTCTGAGCGCTCCTTGATGGACCAGCCAGATGCCGGTGACACCTCGTGATCTCACTTGTGAAGCCACGTCACCTCTCCGCTCATTGGTAGAGCCATGTGCCCTCACCGTCTCCAGACGACGCGGGGCGCCGGAGACCCAGTGACGTCACACTTGATCTCGACGTTGTCACCCACCAGAGCGGACAGAAGGTTCACCTCCAGAGATTTGTCCAGCGACACCATGGCGATGCCTGCGGCGGTCAGCGAGGTCACACAGGGTCACTGGGGTCACTCACTCGGGGTGACCGTCTGAGGTCGCTCGGGTCACTCAGGGCTGGGATCACTCAGGGTCAATGTTGCACAGGTGCAATAGGCTCTTCGTTCTGGTTAGAGGATATATTAGTTGCTTGGAAGGTGAATTCTCAAACACAAACACTGGGCCTGAAGCCGAAGATGACTGAGTGGGTGTTGGAAGGGCAACCCCCGTCCATAATAAGTATGGACATAACAAATGATTGTGGAAATTGTGAATTGTGTCCAACGGCGTCTTTGTGAGTACTGCGGGCTAGAAATAAAGAATACTGTACTGTATAGCTTGTTGAAGGCGATGTAGAACTCGTTGATGTCGAGCTTGCCGTCGCCGCTGGTGTCGTCGAAGTGGGAGAGATCGGTGAGGTCACAGCCGGATATCAGGTCATTCAGATGGTGTTGTTCCGTCACCTGCACAAAAAGGACACATACAAATGTCAGTGGGGTGACATCCTGACACGAGGTCACTCCGGTGGCGCCCCTCCCGTTCCCTGCACGGAGATAACATTATGACCATGACTATGAATGCAGGCGGGGACGGAGACGGAGGTTTATCCACACAATAAGCATCATGTTATACAAAAGCACAAGACAAATTCACAGCAAAAAGGCAGAAGGCGGAAGATGGCTCGTGGGCACGCGAAAGTTCGCATTTAGACGGAACAAAAAAGCAGCCAGCTTCTTGCTTTGGATGCAGGACACATCACACACATTGCCCAGTTTCCCCAGTGACGTCTGGATAGGGGACAGAAGCTCTGGCTCTTTTCAGCCCTGGGTGATTGCTGTTAGCTGCTTGCAACTATGCTGCATCCAATTATCCGACGCAGATTTATTTTGTTGTGCATGTTTCGCGCAGCATCATTATTCGGATGCTAAATGCACTCGATATTGTACAGACTATTTCGCGCTGGCTATATTAAAATCACCCTGAGATGTATGACGCCATAGAGACTTTATACTAATTCCACCTCTTCCATTGCCGTACTGTGTTCCAGGTCATGAAAAACATGGCCATTGACTCATTTGTGTCTGAAGTACGTCACCCACGAATTGCAAGCATCGACAGATAGCAGTTACCATTCAACCATCCCTAACGCGTGAATACAAAACTTGATCACGAACCGCAAGTTGTGATACATGATACAACCGTTCGGGAAGTTCTACTAGTTGCACGGAAATAAGGCGGGAAGTCAAATTACTTAAGGACGGCGTCATAGCCAAGAGTGCGAGTAAAAAAGGTAATATCACCGACAAATCTACGAGAGCATCCCGAGAAAACGGCCAAAACACGCGCGCATAGAGATCACTGGGCTTGTCCCGTTCGCGAAAAATTCGCAAAGCCACCTTGCGGTAAAATGGAAGCATTACAAAAGAGTCAGTCCGTCTGCTACAGCAGCAATTCAGACACGGCCAGTTTGGTAGCGACTCTGACGTCATAAAGACGTTCAATGACGTAATTAAGCGGTACGTATGAGGAGCATATTTAATAAATGGTAAAACGCCTGTTTAGAGCAATCTTGTGCACTGAAAAGCATTCCAATCGTTTAAGTGAGCTTTTTCATCATATCTCATGCGTGCCCCAAACATCTCCAAATTTGGGATGTCTCTCTTTGAGTGGCCAATCCGTTACAACATCGTGACAGGGTGAGGACTTCATCAATGCGCGATGTGGTCTCGTATTATGAGGTTGATAAAAAATATCATCGGTCTTTCACAATCACCGGCACGTTCTTACGTACCGTGCCGGCTTGGATATCAAACATCTAATTTCGCTTCGCCGTTACGTAAGTCGGACACTACAATGAACGGGAAGCCGGATGTTACATCAGGAAAGTTATCGGATGAGCCTTCTGAGAGCGCACCCAACAGCAGGGTGGAAACACAGCGGGGCGCGAGCGAAGTCTGGGCAAACTTCCTTTAACCTTGCCTCGTTAGCGTTCGCCCCAAACTACATCATTGCTTTAGATCGGTCGGCCCTCGTGTGACAAAACGTTCTGGGAACATGTGGGAATTGAGGCCCCGACAACAGGACCGCTTTATCGGAGTCATCTTCATGTCTGAAGTGCATCAGACACAAACTCACGTGACGTAATAAATTTCACATCAGGGAAGTATAACCATTACACGCCACTCAGCAGCCCAGAATAACGGAATGCGTCGTCGCTTTTACCATAGCCTCGTTGTTATAGGGCTTTCATCCAGCCAGTCATTATAACAATTGCTCCCAATCATGCATCGACATCTCCCCTGATTAAAGCCAGAGCTGGTTTCATATCTGGGATCAGTCCTCGACGAGCCGCACTGTTTTGACATGTTCTGTCTGCGGCACTTGGCCGACACCCTGCTGAGAGCCTGGGCCCCACTGAGCCGGACGGAGGGCTCACGAAACCGCCCCAGTGCCGCTCCGCACAGGCGGGCTGCTGACGAATTCCCATGCCAATCGTTACCATCCTGCACGGACCCCGGAAGGCCTTGAAACGGTGGCTGGTCACGCGATCTTGAGCCCCCAACACAGTGGCAGGTTTGGGTTGCGGTTTTCTTTTCTGATCTGTACTGCTGTCGAGGAGGTTCACTGCACACACTTTTCGTTGGAAGATACTACGTTGGAGAGTGACAAAACTGGTGCCTTTCGCATCGCACCAACCCGTGAAACGCCCCGCTAGGAAGACCTGGGGCCCTCAATAAGTCGAGTTTATAAGGTTTTCGCCAGTTTCTAAGACCTCTCTTTACATTCGTTACGCGTTGGTTACGCTTGGAGAAATATCTCACCCTGGTTACCAAGCGTGCAGCCACACGTCGCAAAAAGGCAACATTCATTTGGCCCTCATTAAGCTACAGATGCGAATAACACCGGGGCGTACTGCTTGTCATTAGTACAAGCCACCTACTGCTGCCTTGTCTGGTCTTGTCATTGGTAGAAGCCACCTACCACTGGCTTGTCTCGTCTTGTCATTAGTACAAGCCACCTACCGCTGACTTGTCTGGTCTTGTCTTGAGGCTTAGGGTCTAGAAACAATTGCTTTAAAACTTGAGCATGATTTCTAACAGCATCTGAGCGTAACGCTGCAATTACGCCCTAAGTCCCTCCCCATTCCCTTCTTACTCTTCAGTTACGCTCTATACCCCCTTGCTCCTTTTCTATTGCCCGCTTGCCCCCGCACCATGCATGACGTTATGTATGGTCCACATTTCGAACATCTAGCACCACCCTGCCCTCACCATGGGGTCGCGCACCACGCGCTCACTGGGCACGACCTTCAAAGACATCCGAAGCGGGGGTTCCCCAGAGGTCACAAAGGTCAGTGCGCCACGGTATCACGGAAGCTGGTGGCGCAGCCGGCGCGCCGCGACCATATTTGGCATTGTTCTGAATAAGCCCGGCTGCTTAAAATGAGTGGTTCACATTTGTATGGGGTTTTAAACTCAAGTAGCCAATTGCAAGACCTTTCGGTGCTGAAGCAATCCTGTGCTTCTTAAGACTTGAGCCCCTACAGTTTCTGAGATACACGCCGACGGAAAGGGGGAAAGGTATATCGGGGAGAGTATTACAAAGCTATCTTGGCATTCATGACTTCATAATAACGTCATTCAAAACCTGTCATTCCATAATCCATGTGGCGATCAAGGCCAAGAAAAATGCAATTGTCCAGGTGCTCATATCTGGCGCTCGTGAGCACGGTTTCCAGATATCATGGACGTCAATTGGTTCCCAATCAATGTTGCGCGTGGCACTACGATGCATCAAGCCCTGACACAGTGAGGAGCATATTTACTAAACAGAAAGTTGTGCTGCTTAGAGCAGTCTTTTCCACCTAAAAAGCATACCAATAGTTATATGCAAGTTTGTTTCATCATATCTGATGAAACAAACATTTGTTATCATGTCTCAAATTATATCTCATAAATATATCATTACACAACATAAATATATATATATATATATATCTATCTCTCTCTCTCTATCTCTCTCTCTCTCTCTCTC